CTACTTGCACTAATTCAGGGTGCCTTGACGGAGCTGGTCTGAGTGCTGTCCACCCCTGGCTGAGGATCCTAAATGAGACCCTACACCAACTACAAGGGTCATCTGGTCGACCAGAGGAGTCAAGGCTGCAATTGAAAGTGATGTAATACGGATGCGACACTCATACTACTCAATCATCACATACTCCTCAGAAAGAGACGGAAGCCTCCTCATCGACAAGATCTGTGAACGAGATCCCCCAAACTCATCACGAAGCCTCATAAGGAACTAGTGAATTCTATCCTCCTACTCTTGAGTTACGGGAATTCTGCTCCTTCAAGCTCTATCTGTGGAATAGCAACAAGAGGACATAGAGTCTCATACTCTAGCTAGCACTATATTAAATAACCATAATAATTTTGAACCGTTATATCTTTCTGTCAAGCATATGAGAGCTCCTGAGAAAGCTCATAAACACGAACTCACTATCCTGAGTGATAATATATCTCTGATAATGCGCTTCATAGCTTCAGAACAAAACTATAAAACTAGTGAATCCTATAAATAGATGGCTCCATTGAGCCCAATAACCATCCANATTAAATAACCATAATAATTTTGAACCGTTATATCTTCCTGTCAAGCATATGAGAGCTCCTGAGAAAGCTCATAAACACGAACTTACTATCCTGAGTGATAATATATCTCTGATAATGCGCTTCATAGCTTCAGAACAAAGCTATAAAACTAGTGAATCCTATAAATAGATGGCTCCATTGAGCCCAATAACCATCCAAGAATAGTGCAATTCTCAAAGAACCATGTAGAATATCTAGGGTCATCATCATCTGGATTTGGGTGAGATCTCGTCAGCCAACGAAGCTTCCGTACACAGCCCAAGAAAAGTTGGAATGAACGTGACCACTCAGCAAAGCCATGACCATTCAACAACTGCGTCTTAACCTTCTAAGAGATCATACCCGGCATTGTCAGTAATGCAACTGTGCTAGTAGGTATTGTATACTGGTTAAACATAAAAGTGAAAGAAGCAGGCGATACATTCCCAATGGAAGTACTAACAGTAGAGGTTTCAACAGTAGAGGTCTCAATGGAAGGAGTCTCAAGTCCCTCAGTAGTAGTCATATCAACAATAATATGTGGGCACCTGTGATAGAAAATACTCTACGATAAGTAGAGAGACAAAATAAGAGAGAACAATATATCTCTAGTCAAAAAGTAGTGACAGATAAAGAAGGTCCAGAAAACTCTCAAATAATCAAGTTAGGGTGCCCAAAAATCTAGTGAATATAAAAGTGATCTACTGCATCAATAGCAAATCAACAGAGAAGAGGATATAACCCCTCTTAAAAAAGCCTGAGATATTGTAACACTAGGAAAAAAAATGGTGTGATGAGATGGCAGTACTGCGACGAAGAATGTGCAGCATGAAGTTGCAACGCAAAGTACAACCCGGCAGTGGGCTAGTGAGTGGGCTGGGCAATGACCCAACAGTAAGCTGGACAGTGGGCTGGGTGTGCTGGGTTCACTGGGTTTAGGGCTGTTGGGTTTGCTGGTGTGTTGGGTTTAATGGGTGGGCAGTGGGGTTTGGTTAGGTTTGTTGGGGGTTGTTGGGTTATTGGCTAGGGATGATGTTTGTCGGTAGGGTGGTGACTGTCAGTGGATGTTGGCCTGGGTTGTTGTTGTTGGTGCTTGTTGGAAAGTGTGGCATAAGTGGGATGGTGGATTGCTAGAAGGTTTGGTTTCACTAGAGCAAGTGTGGTTGTCACTGATCTGGACCAATGTAGTCACGGTGTGGTGGCAGTCTGGTGGCTGGAGGCAGTTGCAACGTGGAGGAGGGGCTAGGGTTAGGGTTGACGGTTAAGAATGGGCGAGAGGCTAGGGTTTTGGCTCTGATACCAACTTGATATATTTGTGAGTAAAAAAAAATACTCAAACTAAGAGTAGAGTCTCGTATATATAGTCAAACAATAATATAAAGTGATCTAAACATCCCTCTGGTCTAGACAAAACATAAAAGTAATAGAAAGGGAAAAGAAAGAAAAGAAACTCTAATAAACTAGACTATAACTCCAACAAAAGCAAAGCCTTCAAAAGGCTAAGAGACCATTTAACAAAAGGTCTGTTGGTATAGTATTACAATCTAATCAATATCTTTGGCAAAAAAAATTGTAATGTATCTATAATATAAATAGAAGTGCAAGTATTCAAGAATGACAATCTTACAATAAAGCTTAGGAACTGGGAAGATACTAAAAAAATGACAAATTAGAAACTCAAAGAGATGTAAAATAGATCAATAATTAGGTTTAGCAATAATTAAAATAAAAATTAATTATTTGACACAAAATTTATTATTCAATTTAATTACAAATATAATCTAAATTTTATATAGAAAAAACTTATTATTCAAATATGTTCACATGTAACCCATGTCGTGCATTTCTAATAAATTAAAAAAAAGGCATTGTGAGGAACATATTTCAACATCATCATCCTCAATTCCCCATGCATTCAGTGGTTAGTGGTTGTACTTGTGTGCCTTCCAATGTCTAATTTAGGTCAGATATAAAAGTTCCTTAAGAACTAAGTACGTGGTGATGAAACATGGTAACAAGTTGAGTTCGAGAGCATCAACTTGACAACCTTTATCAGTTTATAGCTACATCTACTTTGTGTTTGTTTTACTGAATTGATTGGTTTGTTTTCCCCCATGAAAGTACAATGATTAGTTTATTTCCATCAAGGTTGTAGTTCATTTTTTTCCTTGGGATAGATTTTGGGGTAAATATTCACTTCACAAGTTGTTATTCCTAATGCTGCAGGTAGAATTTACTTTGATAAATGTGGAGAATCTGAGCTGGGAAAAGCCGGGGAATGTTTTTATCGTCCCAGAAATTATAAGCTTGAAGCAGAAGTCTATGCCATGAGCAATTTTCTTTCAGAATGTCTCTCTGCTTGCAGTAAAGGAAATTTCTTTGATAATGGTTTGCAGTATATTCGATACTGGAAAGACCAAGTAACGTTTTTTTTTTAGGAGGGGAAGGGGGAGGGAGAGGGGGAAGGGGGCTTTTCTATTTGTACGTTTGTGAATTTAGTTCACAAAAGCTAAGTGTGAAAATGTCATTCACAGCATTAAGCTTATATTTTTCAACTATGAAATTCAAGGGTGCAGCTCCTCTGCTGTAAAATAAAAACAGCACAGTGTGCTATTACCCCAAACCGCGGCATTTTAGTATCTTTTGCCGAGTTTCCCAGCACTCCCTTCCACCATCTCTCTTAGAGCCATGATTATCTCCCTCCTTCTCTCTTAATTTTACTACTAATTCCCATCTATGAGATCCCCTCTTTACAAAGTAGTATTATCCACTAAAATCCTATCAAGACTCAAGATCTCTACATATTGCATCACTTAATTCAGGATTCGTGATCCCTATATATCGCACAAATTTTATTTAGGTGCAAAAGTTGCCAATTGTCGGTCTTGATNTAAAGTAGTATTATCCACTAAAATCCTATCAAGACTCAAGATCTCTACATATTGCATCACTTAATTCAGGATTCGTGATTCCTATATATCGCACAAATTTTATTTAGGTGCAAAAGTTGCCAATTGTCGGTCTTGATAGAATTTTAGTAGGTTACAAGATTAAGGGTAATAGTCGAGTCATGTTATGTTGTGCTCGTATCAAAAATTGATCAATCTTAACTCAATCTATTTAATTAATCATGTGCATGTCTTGACATTGACCCAATCAAGTTGTTATTGGTCATTTTCAGGTTGACCAGCATGCCATTGAATTAAAAATCCAAGACCAAGATCTAATTATTTCTCAATCAAACTTATCATTAATGGGTTTTTCATGAGCTAAAAAACAACTAAATCCATATAATAGCAAAAAAAAAAAAAGGGTAAAATAATTCCCTTATTTTATTATGATTCATGTCTATACCTAAGGAAATATGAGAAAAAAATCAAACATTTTATCCATGAAGTGTTAAGCTAAAAAGAAACTCTCTCTGACAGTCATAAGACTAGCTATGATTTATGGTATAGTGTTAGGCAACTACGAAACATCATCTCCAAAAATTGAGTGTGGCGGAAATGAGAATGTTAATATGGATATGTGATAATTGGTAAAATTAATTATAAAACTAGGAATGAGAATATCTGTAAAAAAAAAAGGTAGAGATTGCATATATAGAGATAAATNAGCGGAAATGAGAATGTTAATATGGATATGTGATAATTGGTAAAATTAATTATAAAATTAGGAATGAGAATATCTGTAAAAAAAAAAGGTAGAGATTGCATATATAGAGATAAATTAAGGAAAAATTGACTTATGTTTATAGACGGCCTACTAGTGCATCGGTGAGAAAGAGTATTGTGATAACTATAAACAGTAGTATAAGGGAAGACCAAAGTTAACTTCAAATGAAATAATGAAAAGGGCATGATAACTTATGATTTAATAGAAAGTATGGCCCCAAAATAAATACAATGGCGTAACTAGATTCAAGTAGTCGACCTTAAAAAATGTTGAGACAAGGCATTATTGAACTTATAATCTAAAGTAGGACAGATTTGAGGGCAGGTCACCATGTGCAAGTAATGCCGAAGGTTAGGTCTATATCCAATAACTCCCTTCTCAGACCCCCACCAAAGGGAATTAAACTAGGTATTATGCATAATTTATTGTAAGACAGGTCTCAGAGTTCTATTGGCCACTTGAAAGATCCAGAAGTAACATGGCATCTACTTGATAAACACAATTTCAACTTTTGTCCTTTTCATAGTGTGGAACTTGAAATTTCAACTTGAATGGCCTCGAAAATTTTACAACTGCAATCTTTGATTGCTTTAGTTTGTAAGCATAATATTCTGGTGGGCTGGTTTAGTATATTTTTCCAAGTCTGGAATTCCATTTGAATTTTGATTGGACTTTTGGGTTGGCAAAGATTAACATTCAGATAACTACTTTGCTGCAGGAAATATTTATATGGAGAAATGTGGGGTATCTGAGCTGAAGAAAGCTGGTGAATGTTTTTCTCTGGCAGGATTTTATGAGCGTGCAGCTGACGTTTATGCGAAGGGCAATTGTTTCCAAGAGTGCTTGTCAGTTTGCGCCAAAGGGAACCTTTTTGAATTGGGTTTGCAATACATTGAATACTGGAAACAACTTTCAAACATGGATGATGGTATGGTCACAAGAAGTAAAGATATGGACAAGATTGAACAAAAGTTTCTACAGAGGTGTGCACTTAACTATTATAAGCTTAAAGATAACAGATCCATGATGAAATTTGTTAGAGCTTTCCACTCGATGGATTTGAGACGCAATTTCTTGAAGTCTTTAGATTGCCTTGATGAGCTATTATTGTTGGAAGAAGAATTGGGAAACTTTGTGGAGGCTGCAGAGATTGCTGAACTGAGAGGAGATCTTCTACTTCATTTCAAGGAGGCTTCCTTACTCATCCTTTGGTTTGTGTTTTCCAACTCTCTATGGGCACCGAATAGTAGAGGTTGGCCATTGAAGCTGTTCATGCAAAAAGAGGAGCTTTTATCAAAAGCCAAGTTATTTGCAAGGAATGAATTGGATCCCTTCTACGAGTTTGTCTGCACTGAGGTTAAAATTTTGTCACATGAACAAACTAACTTGTCTGAGTTGAAGCAATATTTCAAGGCTTCCTAGCAACAAAAAGTCTCAGAGGTGAAATATTATGTGTTTGGAAAATTCTGGATGCCCATCTTGACTTGAACACCTCCAAGTATGACTGGGAAGATGAATTGTCAGTGGATCTGAGAAAGCACTCAGAGGATAAGATTTCACAGAATCGGGTTTCTCTTGAAACACTAGTTTATTTTTGGCGTCTATGGAAAGAAAACATTGTGAATATCTTTGATTGCCTTGCGGGTATTGAAGCCGAAAATTTTGGCAATTATATTGTTTTTGAGAAGTTTTGTTTGAACTATTTTGGTGTGCGAAGGAAATTTAATAATCAAAACAGCATTTACCACATGCTGAAACCTGATGCTGATTGGGTGAGAACAATTGGTGACAGATCCACAAGGAGGATTGGGAAGTTGGTCAGCGCTGATGCCCGCCATTTTGTTTCTGCCGCTAGGAGNATGAGAACAATTGATGACAGATCCACTAGGAGGATTGGAAAGTTGGTCAGTGCTGATGCCAGCCATTTTGTTTCTGCCGCTAGGAGTCATTGGCGTTCAGAATTATTTTCTGTTGGTATCAAGTTGTTGCAAACTCTTGAAGCCCTTCATAAGTTCTCAACTAGGAATTCCTTGTCTATGTTTTGCCAAAGCATGCCTCTCCGTCATATCTTTGAGGTTGCAAAATTTCTTCTGGACTCCAAGTTTCTTCATTGCAATAATAATGATAGAGGAACATTGCAAAATTTTGTAAAATTATCTACTAACTACTTTGTAGACGTTTTTCCGTTAGACTGTCGGAAATCATTGACAGAGAATATGATCCATCTGAGAATGACTGAGCTGTCCCGGACATTACTTGAAGAAGTAATTCATGGAAACATCAAGGGAAAACTGACCTATGGGCAAATTGGGAGGGTGGCTATGATGTGGCTTTGATCTGGAAAACCCACAGAAGAGCTGTACAAGAAGATTGAAGAAAGGTTCAAAGACAATTCATCTTGGAAAGCATTGGTTCAGAACCTCAGTGTGAACATAATGCCAGAATCTTCGGAGGAGTCACCATCGAGCATTTCTGATGAAGCTCCAAGTGCAATCTCTTTGATTTGCAAGTTCCATAAAGCTTTGGAAGATGCTTATAATGCCAATTGGAGAAAAGAAAATGATTATATATCACCAAGTTGCTTCTTGTATCTTCTTGACCGCCTACTAATCCTAGCATTTAACGTCCAGCGATTCTTTCTCACAACAAAATCTTTAACTGTTGAATGGCTTATTTATCAGCAATGGATGGCAAACCCAGCTGGCAGTTCTGCAACTGACTTTCAATCATCTCTGGCAGCTGTGTATGACTTTGTGGTCTCCATAATTCAGCAGTTTCTTTATAATAGACGGGATACAGAGGAATGGATTAAGAAATCTAAAATAAATTTCGAGAACTATTATCCACTGCTGGTGACAAGACTGGTTAGTATTTTGTGTTTAATTTGTGTGAACTCTGGAAGATATTTTGATATACTTCCTCAGTTGCTTGGAAGGGGTAACATTACTTCACAGCTACCAAAGGAACTCTGGCACGTTCTTCAGCGAATGAGTAAGGACAATGGAGTAAATGTAAATGCAAATGTGCTTGCAGAAGCATTCAAATGGATTGGAGATCCTCTCGTGATTGTGAGTTTGCCCAATGAATTGGGATTTCCCTATAGGTCCAGGTCATTTCGGGGCACGCAGATCATTTATGATGAAAAGGATGAGCTTCAAGAGAACGATTCGGAGTTCTTGCAGAGTGGGCTTATTCCCCATATACCGTCATTGCTTCTTCTCCGGGAAAAGAAGTTCACAACCTGTGTGCCAATAAATTGTGCAAACTTCTTCTGTCCTGATGCCATTTTGGTGGACATGGGGGTAACCCATTGCCGGGAGGATATTATAAGAGTCTTGTTTCCTGGGAACACCAGAGCTCCCCCTGGACAGACTGCTTCTGCTGAAGCAGATATGTCTAATTCTTGCAAGAAAGGAATTTCTTTGAATAGCGAGGATGGATCGAACGTACTTACTGTGACATCTTCTAACTTTTCTCCCATAGAAGATCAGAACATGAACACAAAGAATGAAAATGATCAAGACNAGCGAGGATGGATCGAACGTACTTACTGTGACATCTTCTAACTTTTCTCCCATAGAAGATCAGAACATGAACACAAAGAATGAAAATGATCAAGACATTAAAATTAACTGGGGCATAATTCGGGAAATATCTGATGCTGTAGAGTTGGTTGAAAGNTGCTTCTGCTGAAGCAGATATGTCTAATTCTTGCAAGAAAGGAATTTCTTTGAATGGCGAGGATGGATCGAACGTACTTACTGTGACATCTTCTAACTTTTCTCCCGTAGAAGATCAGAACATGAACACAAAGAATGAAAATGATCAAGACATGANCGAACGTACTTACTGTGACATCTTCTAACTTTTCTCCCGTAGAAGATCAGAACATGAACACAAAGAATGAAAATGATCAAGACATGAAAATTAACTGGGGCATAATTCGGGAAATATCTGATGCTGTAGAGTTGGTTGAAAGTAGAAAAGATGGGAATTTGATGAAATTTGTGTCCAAAGCTTCCAAGATGAAGGTAATGCCAAGTAGGTTATTATTATGTCTGGTGCCACAATAATAAATTATATGGTCAGATAACTGTTACCTAATATATTTGAGATTTTTCTATATTTTCAGGAGGAAGTGGATAGAATTATTTGCTTCTGGGCTGAAGAAACAATAGCCGGTCAAGTAGGTTATTATTATGTCTGGCGCCACTATAATAAATTATAAGGCCAGATAACTGTTACCTAATATATTTGAGATTTTTCTATATTTTCAGGAGGAAGTGAATAGAATTCTTTTCTTCTGGGCTGGACCAACAATAGCCGCTAGGCAGGTCTCTGAGAAGAAACCTTGTGCCGGTGAAGATGGAAATTTTTCTGCGGAAGCAAACATGCTAGAGGAATTGGCGCAACTTTCATTTGCATTAGATATGAGGTCAGTTTATTTCTTTAGCTTATATCATTGTGTGAACCTTGCCTTTCTCTTTCATTTAGTGGATACTAACTTTAAAACTGACCTTAAAACTTGTAGTCAAAGTTCAATTCTCACAAGACATCTCTTATTCATCTATTTTGCATGGTTTGTAAGTAATTGCATGCATCTAGAGTTTACATTATACCCACAAGTCCAAAACAAAGACGATTCTGCGTCAGTGAAAAAAAGCTGCATCTATGAACCAAACTTCCAACTAATACATTTCTGCTTCAGCTTCCAATTTATATACTGAATCTTGGACTGTTTTTTCAGTGACCCAGAACATGAGAAAAACCTTTTAGGCATTGGAGAACTTTCGAGGATGTTGCATTCAAGGTTGTCTTCTTTCTTGAACTCAGTAGTCTCATAAAGATACAAATGTGATCACTATCTCGGATCCTCAATACCATAAAGAAGCGGACAACAGCAAGTCTGAGGAAGGTAACATGAAGGATTTGCAAGCTATTGCTGCTTCTGAAGGCCAAAGCAATGCTAACAATGAAGCTGTTGAAAGAAGCAAGGGTAAAGGATATAAAAAATCCAAAAAGGGGAAAAAGGTGGTCAAAAAGGGCAAAAGGGGTAAAGGAGGCCGAAAGAGATAACATGACACAGATGGCCTTGGTTTTTCATACTGTTCAGTAATTCTCTTTTTTGTGAGGGTAATTCTATGGGGAAAACAAATTTGGTACTGCAAGCTTTTATTTTTTGAACTCAAGTTACCCCTTATAAAGTAAGTTAGAATTACTTGAGGTAAGTCATGATCAGTCATAAATTATTGTGGTCGATGATGAATGTCATTGACCAGTTGTATCTTTTTAAAAGTATTATTTTATACGATCGATTATATTTTTAAGATTAATAATGACTTTTACCGTTGTAACTAATGTCCCCAATTAACCAAAAGAACAACCTATGTCTCCGAAGGTTATATTTAACCTTAAAATGTAGTAAATTTGTCTCCTTTTTTTGTATTATAAAGGGGATTAAAGAGGCACACAAAATTGGCACTTTATATTACATTTAAATGTCAAAAATTACTTTATTTTGTTGTGGATTTGTGGCACACAAAAGGGCATGTTGTGGATTTGTGGACTTATGGATTTGTGCCTTTCACTTCGCTAGTGTTGATCGGCGCAAGTGCCTACTGGCAGGCGCAAACCACCCAGGCATTGGGTCACGCTGAGGCAGCCACCAAGGCACTGGGTTACGGTGAGCTAGCCACCAAGGCATTGGGTCACGCCGAGGCAGCCACCAAGGCATTGTCGTTCAGCAATAATCTCGACCGACAGACACTCTGCTTGCCAAGTGACTCTCAGCGAGGACTTCTTCCGCTTACCGTTTCCATTGGTAGAGTTCTACTCAGCTAAGAATTGACCTGAGTCCTAGCAAAACACTACTTCGAATGTCTAGGTGCTGGTGGTAAGGGGTTAGAACCTAGAGTTCTAATCAAACTCTACCTTATAATTATAAATAAGACCTAGTGATGAGATTGGGACATATCTCCCTACCACTATAAATAAAAGCTTATGTACCAGGTAATTCAATTCCATCTTGACCTATTCACTTTATACTTTTCTTTGACTCATGATCTGACTTAAGTATCATAGTTCTTTTGGCCGCCTTAAACCATCAATTCACCTAAATGTTCTATTGTCTTGCAGATTATCCAAGGCTTTTTCACCACCCTCGTAGTCCATATGAAGTGGGTTATACTCTTTGTGTGGATTTTTTCCCGCACAATTGGTGCTTTCTGTGAGAAACGACTAAGTTTTCTACCAACTAAGAAGCCTTGAATCATGTCCAGTGAGAGAACCCTCAATGCTAGAACTAGTCGTACACTACTTCCACTGCCCCTAATCTGTGAAGATCCTACTAACTATGACCTCCAATTATCGAAGGACAAATTACCCTGTGATGGATGGAACCACTCTAAAGAAAAATCTCATTCTCATTGCGACCTCCCTGCCCTCGATGCAGAAGGCAGGTTAGCTACTAAGAAGGACTATCATGAGGCAATAAAAAAGAAGACAAAGGAGCTAAAAGCCCTCAAACAAGGGCTCCTACTCCACAAGGGCAATAAACTTGGTAGTTAGGTCTTACATCTGCATCGTCAAAACAACCACCACAACGATCACTCACATGAGGTTTAATTTACTCACCATAACAGTAGGTCTCCGGTGAGGAGTTACTCAAACCAAAGTCAATGTCAAGGAAAGTACTCACCGATGCGCTTTACTTCTCAATTCTTTCCTAGGGACCCTTCACCCATAAAGTATCCCCTCATTACGACAAGAAGAGAGGCAATCCATACATGACCACCGCCTTAAGGAACGTAGAGAAAGACATGGCAGTTCAACCATAGTTTTTAAACCCGGCCTAAATCTCAACTTGGTTAAGTGATCGGATTAATGGTGACTAGTTCGACCATGGGTCAATCAGTTGAACCGCTCATATAATAAATAATAAAAAAAATTATAATAGTAATGAAGATGTTAAAAGATTATAATAGTTACAACAATAACATGTTTTATGTTATAATAGATGAACTAAAATGATAAAAAATATCCCTAAGTTATTAATTTGCTCACATAATTTATTTAATTTGATAGAGCACAAAAAAATTCACTAATAACCATTGGATATTTGGTATAAATAGTAACAAAGTGATGACCCTAAACAAACAAAAAAAATGAAAAAAAAAAAAATAGTTGAAATGTATACTACAAGTCTACAAGGCTTTAAAAAAAATATTAGAAGAACTTGGACAATTTTACTACTAAACTTGTCATCCCACACCAAAAAGTAACGCAGAAGAGGAGTGTCTGCCTTATAAGAAGAGCACTTCATTCTTTCATTGGGTTAGGTTTATAACTTGGATCCAACTCCTATGAATGAGGCGGTCCAAGAAGATAAGTAGTTAAAAGTTTAAATATTTTAAAGTCTAGTCCAGAGTCAAGAAAATCGTCTGGTTTTAACGGAATTCATAAAATTGGTCCAATTTAGATCAATTTAAACTGGTCTTAAGCAGGTGAATGGCTTGAACGATCCAACTTCAAATATAGCTTGGTTTAGGTGCCGGTTGGACGGTTTACCAGCCTAACTTGTCAGGCCAGGCCAGTTTTTAAAACATTGAGTTCAACCTATCACTCTAGACGAGACAAATGATACCATGATTGCAGAAGACATAAGTGTACCCGTTTTGAGCTAGCTCGTGAAGGTCACAACCATCTTCATCGTGACTTTGGCCAAGACAATCTTGTATATTTGGTCAAAGAAAGGGCAAGACAAACCTTTCTTAAGATGACCACAACTCCTTTTGCTCTGTCCATAAGAGAAGTTAAGCCCCCACTTAAGTTCACTCATTCGTCCTTTAAGTTGTATGATGGAAAGTCTGATCCTGTGCTCCACATAAGGGTCTTTACTAATAAAATGATCATTTGGACGTACAACGAGGCATTAATGTGTAAGATGTTTACCTTAAACTTTGGGAGGTCGACTCTTAAGTGGTTTCATGAGATGCCCATGAACTTAATCTTCTCTTGGGAATAGCTCGCCTTGGAATTCGTCTCTCGATTTATAGTCAATAATCAAGAGCCGATGCCAATTGACACACTTTTGGCATTACACAGAAATATGAAGAGATTCTCCATGAGTATGTCACGAGGTAGTTGAAAAACTATACCAACATAGAAGAGTGAGATGAGAAGACCATCGTTGTCTCTTTCTATTTGGGTCTCCTCAAGGAAAGTATATTGAGGAAGCACCCCACCATGTGGCCACCTTGGAGTATGTCATACTCGCAAGAGCATGTCAAGAGGTATGTGAAGGTGAAGGACGACAAGGGACCAGTCAACCGCTTGTCATCTTTTCCAAAGAAGAACTAGATGGAGGATGACAACACTTTCAACCCATCAAGAAAAGACGGGTCATCCAAGGAAACTAGAGACTCCTACTAAGAAACCAATACTGTTTTCAAGGAGCCTCTCTATCAAGTCATGAACTAAATCAAAGACAATGAGAATTTTAGGTGGCCATTTAAGATAATAGGAGATCCATGAAAAAGGGACCAAACCTCCATTGTTCTTATCACAAGGACAAAGGCCACCAGATGGAGAATTGTTGGGCACTCAAGTGCCATCTAGAAGAGTTGGTTATGCAAGGCCACTTGTTTCGGTACATTAACAAGGAAAAGACTACCAAGCAATAAGAAGAGCAACAAATCCAATAAAATGACCAACCAGATAACTAAGTTTTACTTTTAGTTAGTTAGCACCATCTTATTATTTCAATAAGTTTTCAAAGACATTTATGTCTCGTTCTCGTTGATTAGTAAAGAGAAATTTATTTTTCTCAACTTTAAGTGCTCCTCGATTTGTGATTATTGCAGCCTCCGTGATTACACCTCAAGCCAACTTCCGTTGTTACACCTAAAGTGGACCTCCTTAATTGCACCTCAAGCCAACCTCCATGGTTGCACTTCAAGTCAACCTTCGTGATTGCACCTCAAGGCTTCTTCACCACTCTCAAAGTTCGTATGAGATGGTTACTCTTTGTGTGGATTTATTCTCGCACATAAGCAAAATACTCTTTTTACATCCCATTTCTTCCCATCCAATAAGTGACTTTTCTCATCCCATATTTATTCTTTATGTATCTTAAATTTACTTTCATGATGTTATTTTTTTTTTGCTATTGGAAATGGAGATACAAATAAAAGCAAAAAACTATCTATCTTGTGCGACCAAATCTATATGAAGTGTTGCACTTGTCGCCTGTGGTAGTTCTTCATTTGAAAGTGTACCCGTATACTTTACTGCCAATCCCCATTTCATAAGCTCATGTGCCAGAAATTTTGCCTCTCTTGGTACAAAGTCCATTCTCCATTCTACATGGGCAAAAAGAAGGTGCTTGAGGTTAGAAATGATATTAGTTATCGACTAATGGTGTTTATTGTGCTTCAGCACTGCTACATGGATGATTACTTGGCAATCCCCTTCAATGGTTACATAACTCCAGTTCTCTTGATGTGCCCATAATGCCGCAAATATAGGTGCCATGGCTTTTGCCATTAATGGTTCCTGAAGAGGGTGAATTGCAAGCTTTGCTTGAAGAACCAAACCTGTATGATTTCTAACAACTACAGTAGTGCAAATCTGGTTCGTACCAATATCTGTTAGAGATATAGCAGTAACCTAATTTATTAGGGCTTATTAAGTTTTCTCTTTTTACATTTTTATCCTTATTGTAACCTTCATTGGCTATATGTACAGGGCTCTACACTTAGTTTGTATCCCTTTCTTTACTCACATTTATTTCAAGTTGGTATCAGAGCCATACCCTAACTCTAACCTTCTCCGTCTTCCTCACCGGCGATCACCAACCCACAATCACATTAACTAGCCTGCTGCCTCTATCAAACCAACCCATTGCACCGTCTACCTACCATAAAGCACCGACTACCTCTATTAAAATCGACACTGACTGCCTCCATTAAAAACTATTATCAAACATCAAAACCAACAACCAAAGCCGACATCGACTACCTATACAACACACATCGAAATCAGCCAACAAAAATACAAACCGACAATGACAATCTCCAACACACTGACAAACTCCAACATAGAAAACCAATAACCAAGCAGGCCACCTAACTCATAACCAATAACCCAGCCCACCTAAATTCACCGACCTAACACAAACATACCAAGCAGCCCACTGGCCAATCCCAAGTCCACAGCCCACTGCCCAGTACAGCCCAAACCAAACCCAGACCAGCCCAAAACCAGCCCCCTCATCAACTCGTTATCAGGTCACGTTTATCTTTTCGTCACAATGTCGCTATCTTTTCGCGCCACCTTTTTTTCTAGAGTTGCAATATCTAGGCCTTTTTGAGGAGGCATCAGATCCTCTTCTCCGTTGATCTGCTTTTGATGTAATAGATCACTTATATATTTTCTGAATTTCTGGGCACCATGACTTGATTATTTGGGAGCTTTCAGTACCTTCTTTATCTGTCGCTATTGTTCGACTTGAGGTATATTATTCTCCATTATTTTATCTCTATATTTATCTTAGAGTTATTTTTTTTCCTGTCACGGGTGCTCACGTATTATTGTTGTCATAGCTATTACTGTGGGACAAGAGACTCCTACCTTAGAGACCTCTATTGTTGAAGCTTCTATTAGTATTTCTACCAGGCTTGTACCATCTGTTTCTCCTAATTTTATGTTTGACCAGTACACAATACCTACTGGCACAGTTGCTTTCCCAGCAATACCGGGAATGATCTCTCAGAAGGTTACGACACAGTTGTTGAATGGTCGTAACTTTGCTGAGTGGTCACGTTCATTCCAGCTTTTCTTGG